GTAAGCTTTTAGGGTTTTTTCTGCATCAAATGTCAAGTTAATTTACAGGGCGCTATTACTGATATGTTTCCTTGGTTTGTGGTTTTCTGTGAGAAGCAGGCAGCTGAGACCAAGTCTTAGGCTAGGGGGAGGGGCAGCCGCAGCCCATCGCGCAGACCCCGGCCCAGGCTCTGTAAATTGGCTGCCGTATGACAGCGGGCCAAGGGAAACCTCCAGTCTTCATTTGCATGCTGAAAAATATCCAGGATTAAACCGGACTGATTTTCATACAGGATTTAGACCTGACATTTATTATTCGGTTCACAGACCTCTTGAAGGAAAGTTTGTTTTCCACTCATAGATGAAAAATCTTCTAAGATAAATAAAGACTGGCTTAGTAGTAACAGTAAATAAATACCTTTCCTGTATTTCTTATGAATTTATCATATATGATTAACAGACAGATGTTTGCCACCAAATTATTATATTTTGCTCTTTAGCAATTCTAAGGGAAAAATAGCTATCAAGGTCCTACTCAGTGTTTATAAAATGCATTTATTTTATTCTGGAAGTGGATTTTTCATAAACAACATTTAGAGACAAACACTTGATTTTTAGAACAAATGAAAGCAACACTGAAGCAGTAAAATACTCTAAAATGTTTAATTTTGGATATGCGCCATGTGTCTTCACGAGGACAGAAGATTTGGGTTATACCGTAAGCATCAATTGCATACTTTTACAGAAGACATGAAAATTACAAATGAACACTACACATGAGCCTTATGTACCAAATTTATAACACAGATAGTGCATTTTCATTGTCAAAGAGGTCCATAAAGTATTCTGGTATCTCTGAACATTTAGGTATTAATTGTTTGTCCAGACAGCCACTCAAAATCCAATACTTCAGCAATATTTTAACTAGCCAAGATTTAATTTCTAATTTTTGAACAAAACATATTTTGACACAGTACCAATCTGAAGGAACATGACAGAGATGCTTTGTATTTTCTGGAATGCATTTCCTACATGGGCCAGAATAATACCTACAAATAGTGATTAGACAGGCCCAGAAAAAATGCAGCATTCTTCATGTAATAAGAGCGATCTTTCACATATACTTTATACATTTAACAAGCATAAGGTAAAATAATACAAATGTCAGGAATTAAGTACATTATTGTGTCTGTCAACACATGTAGAGGAAACACTGTAAAATCTGCTATATATTTGAATTTTTAATATATCAATGGAACTTTTGAAAATGTGTTCTGGTATTTGATATCTATGAATATTAACCTATTTATAACAAATCTTAAACATGTACACTGTGGGACATATTCCTGGGAAATTTTTCTTTGTTTTAATGTTGCATTTTATTATAAATGTACATAGGAATCATATTCACTTCTCCAAATCAATTTTTAATTATACTCAGAGGTATAAACTATTAGTTTTAGACAGACTACATCAATGAACTTTTTATAGTGTGCTATTAGCATCATATATACAAATCTATTTATTAACCAAGCATTTAATAAGTGAATATGAGTCTTTCTGATTTTGTATTGATTCAATTATTGTATATAATATGCACACAAATGATTTGACTCTACCAGAAATTAGATAAAAGCAAAAAGTAGAAATTGTTGCATTGAGAAGGTGTTGGTCATTTGTATGTAGAAATAATTCTGCTTTATATGTGTGTAAATTATAGATGAAAAGATAAACAGTACTGTAAAATGTATCTACACATATATGCAAAGTGAAGAGAGTTCAGGCAATTATTTGCACAATTCAAGTTAAACCCTTTACTTCTGCATGCTGTCGATAATTGAGGCAGAAGTGTTTTTCCCTTGAATTATCTGGATGATTGCATCAATTCTTCACTTGGCTTTATATGTGTATATAGACATAACAATTGTGTGTCTTCAGAAAGTGCCACTCTAAGAACATGCAAATACAGATTACATTCTTTGAGGACACTGCTACCTTATAGCCTTAACACACCACTGAACTTGTTTGTTAATTAAATTGGGACCTTAAAAAGGGAGAGAGGATAAATATAGTTCCCCAAGTAATTCTTTCTAAAGTAACATGCACTAATATTTACATATAACATGCAATTCTATATGCCTCGTACAAACTAAGTTTGCTCCACCTACTCTGGCATATTGATGGCCTGGTATCCTTCATTATCTCTATTAGCAGAATGCTTCCACAGTAGGCCTGGCTAATTGTATGGACAGTATTCATGGTGGTGTGCTGCCAGTATAGTACTGAGGAATGTTTCATTGTGAAGGTTTGACCCTCAACCTGAAATCCTGAGAATCTGTGCTTGAGCAAAAAGAATTCTGAAACCAGTTGGTTGGGATGGGGAGAGTCATTTTCAATCAGTCCAATTTTCAGTGACTTTATCATTAATACACTTAAAAATATGGCTGATATAATGACTTGAGTGAACATAGTTATTTTGCCATTTTTAGTGCCTGCATAGGAAATAGGTATTAATTGTCCCATCATTTAAAATTCTCAATACAATGCACATTTACTCACTTTAAGCTCAAGATGTCTCTCCATCAAATTGTGGGGCTCTTTATATCTTCAAAGTAATTAGTATTGTACAGTATTCATGACAAACATACCGAAGAGGAAAAGGATTCCCACTTCATAATCACTGTAAATATGAAATCATCAAGCCAGTCCTAATTAGGCACTGAGATAAAGATAATAGTGAGTCCCTAAGAGGTGCGACAGACTTTAGAACAAAATTCAAATATGCCACAATTAGATTATTGTTTCAAAAGCCTGTGCTGAATAAAGTTGGTGGACCATGTTTGCCAAATAATTCTGTCAGGCAGGCAGTCATAGTTTAAAGTAATTAAGCAATGTATTCTCATGTTAAAATGGTACATGCAAATGTCCATGCTTTTGTTGGTTTGGAAATGTGTAAGATTCTTGATAAAAAGTTTCACCTAACAAAACATTCAGTGTATTATACTTTTCAAGCTTCAACAGGTAGAGAATCATTTTTTAAACTTGCCTTTAAAAGACATTCTAGTAAAGCATTTGATTGTTTAACATTTTTATTATTCAAGTTCTTACCATTTCATACTACTCCCTGGAGAGGGGCCAAGGAAATATTAAAAATACTATAGAAATATAAAGGATAAGATATTTGTCACTCTCGTTTAAATTGATGTATGCTGCTGTCCTATAAACGTCACATCGGATAACCCTGAAAAATTACCATGAATCTCCATAATTACGCATATTCATGATGGTGTTTTGCATACTGCTAACAGCAGACTGCATGTGGGGTGGGACATGAAGGGGGGTAGGAGTAATGTGACAGCTTAAAATTATTACCAGTATCATGGAAATAGACATAGCAACAGATCCATTTTGTTAGGGCTTAGAAAACAAAAGCATATCATGAAATCGCATACTAATTAAATAACTAGAAATTTTTCTCCTACATATTTCACCATAAAAAGTTAACAGCACTAAACTGACTAGAAATATCGCTGTTACTTGAAATGTGCTTGCGTGTGTCAGAGGCTCCTGGTGCAGGGTTGTATCAGCTGAGAGGAGAGGGTGCTTTTCAACTTTTCTGGGAGTGGGCCAGACAAAAGGTGGGGGGAAGGCCGATTCGCAAACTAGCCCAGGTCATTCAGTTTCTTGAGTGGTTAGAAAGCTCTTGATCTGGGTGCAAATCATGCAAGCTCGTTTCTTTTCCGATAACGATGAGGACTGAGTCATATTCAGGACGCTGTTCAAAGGCTCTAAGAGACAGAAAAGTTGTCTGCTGTCTATCTCAATGGCTTTTTTGTGCTGAGGCAGAGCGCAGAGTTAATCAGGGACTCTAGAAGTAATTATGGGCAGAGTTTGGGTAATACAAATGCTTGGGTAAACAGCGATTGTTCTTTCCACAAGATTGCGGGGAAGAACCACAATACCGGTATTGTTTTCCACTTCTCATTAGGGGGACTTGGGGAGGAGCGCTGCCTTGCCAGGCGGATGGGAAACTGACAGGCAAACCGTGCTAGGAAAGGCTCTCTCCTGCTCCCCCTACCACAGGCTCTGGCTTTTGGCATCAGGAGTGCCAGCTGCATCGGGAGAAGCCAAGCCTGTCATACCATCTTCGCGTCAAATCTTCAGGGCACAAGAGCCAGCGCATAGTTAGAGCTTAATGAAGAAACAAATACAAAGGGAAGATTAGGCCTTGTTAACATTTGCATTCATTTGTTCTTACAGAAACTGCGCTGGAAGGGCTGCTTTACAGAACTCATTCTTCTTTTTCTTAAGCAGAAAAAGTTACACTGAGGTTGCATTTTTTAAAATATTGTAAATACGTAGGGAGGAAAAAAATCTTTCGGTTCCCCTGTAACTATCAGCCACCAAATTGTTTTGTCAAAAATGCCACTTGAAGCTGTGATGCCCATGACAACTGTCAAAATTGGTAAATACTTTTCATTTTTTACATTAATAATATTGTGCTCGTCGCCACATAAAGCATTTCCTTGCATACTTAAGTGCTGCCATTCCATTCTTTTGAAAAATGGGGGGTGGGAAACTTTATCTATTGTTACGGGATAACAAACAATCTCCTCTGCTGGGTGAAACATTTGTGTTTCATGGTACCAAATTACTTTTATCTTCAAATTAATAGTGTTTGAGAGAAAGGAACTGTACTTTTGAAGTTCACTATAAACTACCCAGAAAGTTTGACAGCAGAATGCTACAATTATTTTTTATTGTTGTAAGCAATCAGTCACCTGCACAAAGGTGTATTGTGTACAGCTGCAATGTAAAACCTGTTTTTGTTTATGCTACCTGTCATCCACTTAATATGCTAAGGTGCATTTTAAATGATATTCTTCCAAAGGAAACTGGAACACTTTAATGGGGTAATGTACTTTCTATTTCACACTTTGTTTAGGGCCTACCCAAGTAGGGCTCAGAATATATCTGTGTCTCTTAAACTTTAGACATACCTTGAAAGAAGATAGGTGACTTGCTACAGGCTCAGAGGAAAAGATGTGCAAAACTTGTACTGGGACTGAAATATTTCATTTTCACAAATTCTCACACATTTTAAGTGCAAGCTCATTGAGGAGACCCTTCATGTAGTTTGCCTTGACTGTGACGGAGAAAACAGAAATACAGACAGCTAGGTGCTAGTTCAGAAAGTAACCTTCCACAAGTAACTTTCTGCACATGCATAAAAACACGTACACCCAAGTACAATGTGGACCAATTGCTAAATAAATTATTTTATGAGAAAGACATTTAAAGTCTACTATAGAGATGGTTAAAAGTGTAAATCATTTCACATAAATCATGCTAAGTCAATGTAAATTTAAATTTATACCCACATAATGATGACAAAGAAAAATCTTATAAATTACATTTTATGCTATATAAGTAAAGCAGACTGTCATAGAAAGCAAGACTGCACATCTCAAAAATTACAGCCAAATAATCCCTTACACTGGAGTGATATTACTTAAATTTACCTAACCTAAAGAAAACTGGAGAGTTCAGTATAGTAGAAGTGAATCCCCTTCACTTTTTTGGAGCCTAAAAATAGTATCAAATCAGTCTTATGTGGTGAGTTACACCAAACTTTTATGTTTATGATTATTAAATCTGCAGGACATGAGTTGGTACATGGGGATACAGATATCAAACAACTGTGGGCTTTGAAAGTCTCAAAAGTGTCTCATGTTTCCTACTTTCCACACTTCTTCGTACTCTGAAGTCAGGAATGTCACTACTTCAGGATGAAATTGGGCCCCTTCAGATGAGGGAGCTGATTTCCCCACAAACAACTCTCAGAACTGGTTACAGTGAGTTCATGGATTAATTATTCAAACAGTGCCTGGTATTTGTCAGTGGTGAGTCTCCTATGCTTTCAGACCAAGAGCAGTTATGGAAGATGGCTGTTTTTATTTATTAATTTTATTAACAATCTCTCCTCAGTAGTTTATAACCAAACATGACAGGTAGACTTGCGTGGTGTCTCCAAATATGCTTAGCTATACAATAGTAGTAATTAATATAACTTCATTATAACAAATAAAAGGAGACTACATTTTTCTTTCTAAACAATAGCACTTCTCTTAAAGATTTTATTAATAATTACTTGAGCATTAACGTGACTTCACCATAACATTCATTTCTAAAACTGCCCAACCAATTTTAGCTAATGCAGTCAGTTATGTACTAGCAGGACAAAACATTACCAGCAATTCATTTGTTTTAAGTAGTTCATTGTAAAATACACATGTTTATTCGGATTATTTCAGATGAAGCAGTGATGGAATAGCGTAAAATAAGCATATATTGAAAAAAAAATCCTCAGAACAAACCACAAAAATATTTTTTGTTCTGCAATCATCATGTATAAATAGTACATTTATTTAAATACTTCACTGACAAAAACGAATACCAGTGAATTTTCTTTTTGAAATTGTATTGCTGGATTAAATTGTAGAGTTTGGATGAGAGTTGATGATATGTTAATAGTACGATGCTTTAAATGACAATGATCTGGACACATTTGGAGTTTCAAAGCATTACTTAAGTGCAAATACATTTTAATAAATATTAATATTTATTTGCATAAATGCATAATTTAAGTGAATAAAAATAAAAGGATAAAGTATACTTTCACTTAGATCAGGAAGTGCTCACTTGAAATTAAATTAAATTTTCTTTGACAATGAACTGATTTTTGTGAAACATTAGCTGCCATAGGAAGAATCAACTTTTTAAAGTGCTGAAAGTTTTCCGTTTGTAAGAACAGAATAACTCAGATGTAACTACATAAAGAAATTAAATATGTAATAATATTGCATATTTGAGTAACAGATAAACTTTTGATTTGTTCCTTTGTGTGTGTGTGTGTGAGAGAGAGAGAGAGAGAGAGAGAGAGAGAGAGACAGAGAGACAGAGAGACAGAGAGAGACAGAGAGAGAGCGTGACGTCTTTGATCAGAGCTCTAGAAAGAATGAACTCCTGCCTTGCTTCTGTCCACCTGCCCTTGGCCTCCAGCAGTGTGGGAGTGGACTGCGAGGGAAGGGCGCAGCTAGGGGACTGGAATCAGGGCCAGCCCTGTTTCCGCTGCAGCACCCTACCCTACAGTTAGAGGCACAGTCCCTGAGCATCTCCTCTGGGTCCTACTTCCAATGCAGCAAGAAGAAGCATGGTTTTCTTTGAGGGAGAATGAAAGAAAGTGGAGGAGGGAGGTGAGGTGTCCTCAGAGTTCTTTAAACTCGAGCCCATGCTTGCATAAGTGGATGTGTTTACTTGTGTGTACTCTCTTTCCACGGATTTCTTTATCTAGGGATTTTTTGAAAAGATACTCAGCCAAATTCTACTTTTTTCTGCTGTTTTCACTTAGTATGGAAGATGCTTGGCTTCTGTGGATCTGGTGGTTTTTTTGGCATGTAGAATCTCTAAGGGGGCTGACTTCTGAGTGGATCAGGACTGCAGCGTCTCTTTGCCTGGAGCCGATGGCATAATCTTTCTGAACCCCAGGAATTTCTTCCTTACATAGGGACCCTAAGGATTTCAGATGTCGGAATGCCTAGTACTGGGTCTAGAACAGAGGAGGTGCTGCAGTTGAATGTGTGGATAGAGTCCAGTACAAACTCAGAGCTTGATGCTTCCTTAGGAATGGTTGTTTGAACCTGAAAGGGTGCAGGGGGCCACACAGTCTCCATCAGGTCTGAAAAGGGACAGGGGCTGCCGCCTGCCTCCCAGGTCAGCTTCTTGCATTTTCCCAAACCACTTGGAACTTTGCTACCCTACAGGGGAACTTGAAAAGCTGGGAGCTTAAAAACAAACACAAAGAGTGAAAGTGGACACAGAAATTCAGTGTTAGTTTTTCTTTTCTCATGCAGGAACTGACACTCCATAGTTAACTAAATAACCATTTCCTGAATAAGTGAAGGTACCTTTTAAATAGAAAAGCCATTGAAATGGGGAAAAAAGTAATTCTGAATTCACTCCACCCTTTATTTTTCTCGCTCTTGAGAATAAAAAGTTCAAGAGAGTCCAAGAGAATGAAGAATAGTGTATGTTCTCATGTGCCGCAGCAAAGCTATTGGCACATATCTTTAGGGATGGACATTACGCGCAAGAGCGCCCAGTCCTGGGTAGGGAGGGATGGGTGATAGATGCTTCTTCCACTGTTTTTGTTACACGCTCAATCACACTCACATACTGATTTGAAACTGGGTCTGCCCTTTCTTTAAAGTCTAAGCATTTATTCTCAATATTTTCTTAAATATCATAGCCAGGTGTTTACTAAGTCTACCTTTTGACTATTTCACAAAGACGGATATAGTTAGACATCACCAGCCACCTCTAGGTTGGGTCAAGATTGCTGATGTGTGTAGACCAGCAGAAATGAGAGGCTCAGAAGTAGGCCTTACGCTGCCCTGTTAACCTGAATTTCATTTCTGACTACTTTTGTATCTAAACTTGTGTGTCGAGACCCATATATGCATAGGGGATTAGCTCTTCTTTGAGAATTACTGTTATTGAAAATAACTTGAACAGAAAAAATAGGTGTTTACTTCAACTATCAATTTTTTTTAAAAGTTAGAAGCTTGTGTCCTTGAAAACTCTTCCACAGAGCAACGTGAGGAGGTAGCTTCGTGTGATGTCAGTGGGAGTGTGTGCAGGTTTGGGGAGGCCCTTCATTCTCCAGTATTCATATAAATTATAGCTCCATTTAGATATATGTTAAGTATCATTACAAATATAAAATGTCTCTAAATGACATTTTCCTAGTCAATATAATTTGTATATATCTCAGTGATTCAGAATAAAACTGGCCATTCTAGTATTTTCTTTCTGGTGTAAAGCTTGTATATTTGAAAAATTATAAAAATACAGAGTCACTTTAAAAATAAACATACAAGGCAGGTCAATTTTTTGTTAGGTACCCACCGGTAGTATTCACCTATATATAAATGGTAATACTAATGTAAAAAAGTATATATGAATGCTCATGTTTGCAAATGCATCTATAAAGATTAGAAAGAAAATTACCTTTGAATCTATTAATCAAAGGGTTCACTTTCTAGGAAACACATATATGAGAGCTAAGCAAGGAAATATTTCCATTTTCTATTTTTCTCATTGTACATGGACTTTAAGATTCTAAAGCACCTCTCTAGACAGTTTACTAGATTTAATTTTGCCCACTTTTCATCCTAGCGAAGTTGATAATGATTTATGTCATTATTTGAATATTTGTCTTAGTGCTCAGTTGGTTACTTTTAGGTAGTTAAATGATCTTTTTAATATGATTTTTGTAAAATGAATTGCAAAACCCAGATGATATATTTACCTTAGTTTCTATAGTACTATATGATCTGATAAAATACACTCATAGCAACTATTATGCTAAATAAATAAATAAATGGTTTTTTATTTATGTGCAGTATTCTTTTGGGCAATAAACATTCCTCAGAGTTGCATGTCTATTTTTAGTAAACTTTCTTATATTGTAAAAAATATGTGACCTTATCTATTTAGAAACATAGAAAAATCTTTGCTAACATTCAGGTTTTTCAAGTAAAAGGTTCAGTTATGTCCTTCAAGCACCGTTTCTCCTCTGCATACTTTTAAAAACTCTTGAAGATAAATATAAATGAGTACTTCGCCATTATATAAGAACTTGCAATAAAGGTATGTAATCAAGAGGATAGTTGGGTCAAACTTTATATTTATTGTGAAAAATAATAAATCACAGTCTTTTTTTAAGGACACAACAGTGTACTAGCTAAATGAAACGCTTCTATCATACTTTTTATCAACCTGCAATGATAGTCTGATAACAAATTTGCATTAATAAATCTTAACAATTATAAAGTTTATGTATTCTTTTTATTTTTCCAGTTTCAGCAAATGTTCTATTTTCCTTAGAATGAATTTTAATGGGTTTATGGTACTACTATATTAATAATACATTCTAACCCCAAAGCTCTATGTAGGAAACAATACACGTATGTTGATTTTCAGTACTTTTGCTCTTTGCTAATTACACATGGTTGCGTTTCTCAACAATCAAATTCCTTTCTGTATTCTTTATCTCTCTCTCTCTTTCTGCCCTGCTGTGACTTTCTCTTCTTCCTCTCTTTTTCCCTTCTTTCCCTCCCTTCTCTCAGTTCCCCTCTTTCCTTGTCCTGAGGTCTTCACTGCATAGTGCAGTGAACATATTAAGAACATTCAGTTGTGATTGGGCTTATAACCTTGCTCAACTCCAGCATTAGCAAAGGGATTCAGTTTCTTGAATTCATTAATAGTGTTCTGCCACAAAGGCTTTGTAGTTCTCTCCTGAATATTGAGCCTAGCTTAATAACATTCCATTTATGTTAAAGAAACATTTAATCTGTAAATGTGACCTTTAGAAGAATTCTCTTGTTTTTCATTAAAGAAACACTGCATTACAAATATTAATTATGCCTTGATGCGGTATTTTAATTAACTAATCATGTGCTATTGCAGCAATGAAGGGTGTGGTAATGTATGTGTAGTAATGCTATGCAATGGAAGATCAATATCAGAGAAGCCACTGCTGCCGAGAAGACACAATGTGGGTATCTTCAGTGGTTGAATCTGCTTCTCTGGAGCATTTAGTCTAAAACGATGCTTTGTTTTGCTTTGTGTTATGTATTTTTAAATGCCAATGCAGGTCTGATTAAAATGCTGCACATGTCGTTAGTCCCATCACTAATAAGTGAACGTTCACTGATGCATATTAGCAGGGTCTAGCAATGTGGTGAAATTGTCACTTAAGTGTTTGGAATCTGAACACAGAAAATGACAGGCAATGCCTAAGGTCCGGCTCCAGTGCATGTCTTCACTGTAGCTAGAGTCACTGGAATGGTGAAACCAGTTTAGGTTCAAGGTCGCTGCTGACATTCAGCTGTCATGGCTTCATTGTCTGCAGGCCTTCTCTCCATTGACACATTCAAGAGTACTTTATAGCAACCACAAAGAGCCAGTCAATTGATACCATTACACTCCATGCACACACAAACCACAAGCCTGTTCAGGATTGTTGATACAGTCTAACATTTATTCATTAAGGGATCTATTGAAAATGCAACTTGCCCAGCCCCACTCTTAACAACATCGACTTACTTGTTTAGTCCAAACATTTAGCTGCGTCTTTTTCAAGTTTTGCACAGCATTCTCTAATTGAGGTAACATTATCTGCATTTTAATGCCACACCATTTATGTCCAATGAAAGATTACCTGAAGAACCCTGCCATTACCACTCTAGTTTAAATGCGGGCAGTTGTATAGAAAAATATACACAAAAGATGTAAGCAGGGGGAAAAGGGAGATATTTATTTGTTCTGGGAGTGCCACGGAAATCCAATTGCTCAGAAATGAAATAAGACTCTGGAGTGAAAGGAGGGAAAACCTAAGCTTGGGTCAGGGAAGAGGCAATGATTAGCTCCATTGTTAGGAGCTCTTTGAGCTTCGTTGGTTGTAAAGAAAAACCCACTAATGAATCTATTGAAGCTTGCCAGAACTTTGTGTGGAAGACAACTTAAGTTATGGTGCTTATCTAAAAAAATGGTAGTAAAGCATGTGGATATATAAAACAGCACGTATGTCTCTTTATTAACAGCTCTCTTGTAAAAACAAAAAAATTGTTTAAAGATTGCATGTTGCACAAATGACCTATTTCACATGCATATGTTTGACTCAGTATCACAGGTCTCAAAAAATCACCTATATGATGATGAAATGTGAGAAAATACTTCCTGTTTCATAGCTAAAAATGGGAAAGTAGGCAAAATACAAAGTCTCTAATGTTTTCTTGGTTTTCTACCAATATTTATAAAGAAAGATGGGTTTAAAAGTCAAGCTGAAGGCTGTTTCACGTTTTGCGTATCTTAAATATGTAAAAACATTTCATTAAGGAACATAATCAGCTGACATTAAAAGTAATAGACTTTGGGAAAAAAGACCAATATAACCGTGTACTGTGCATGCCAAGAAATATTTGCCATTCTTCCATCATATGTGGCATTTCTAATGTAGACTTGAATCTGTTTTTGCACTTTGATACAATATTTAATTACATAAGCCCATTTACCTTTACAAAATGCATTACACTGTCTAAAAGACAGTGTGAGGATTTAATTAGGCAGCAGTAAAGTAGAAAAAACTAATTTTAGCTAACTGGTCAAGAGCATTCTTGGCTGGAAAATGTAGTGTGTGTTATGTAGCGGTAGAACTTACCTTTCTGAAAGTGTTGTGCTACATTGCCTTTTGCTGGATAGTTGTGTTATATGATAAGACAAAGCTCAAACACTAAGTAAAAGCAGGATCCCCCTCAACCACCAAGCAATGCATGATCCTATGACTTTTTCACAAAAATGAAGATTGTGTTACTTGGAGAGCATAATTCTCTGACTATTTACTTTATAAACTGGTGCGCTTATGTTAATAAATTTGCTTGTTTTTCATGAACACGTAACCATTATTCATTCAAAGCATAGAATTTGTGAGCAGCAGGACTTACTGCTCAGCAGAATTCTTTCTTACAAGGGGGTCTCTTTAATTTTGCTATCTCAGATTTTTAAACTGAGGGCTTAGGAGACTTTTTAAATTGTGGAGGTTATCTTGTAGTTGTCATGAAATTGTTTCATGAAATTGTTTCAAATTGTCATGAAATTTTTACACCCTTGCACACCGAAGAGAAAACAGTATGTACCACAGAGGACATGAGCAACCTCCTTCATGTCTTTTAATTGGCTTCAGTGATCAAACTAGCCTGACCAACAGCTAAACACCACCAAATAAAAGCTAGGGATGTGGTTCTAGTTGCCCTCAGACAGAAACCATCAGGAATCCATTACATCAAGATTTGACACCAATAGATTATATATTATGTATTATCCATTGTGCTGAAGATTTGATACCAATCTTTTCTCTTAAGATTTTAGGTCAGGAAATTTGACTCGATGACTAAGAGCAAAATTTTAGGATTGGAATTGCAAGGCCTCTATCAAAAGACTGAGGCAATGAGGGGAATAAATATTTATAGAACAGCTATTCCACTTGAGATATTGTATTGGGCACTTTTCTTATGGCATTCTGTTGCACTAATAATCTCACATATCCTGAGACTGTTTTTATTATTTTTTCATGGATGAAGAGACAGAATACCCAGGGTCTTTAAAAACTTACCTGAGGCTATAAAGCAAGACAGTGGGGAAGCTGCCATTTAAATCAAAGTTCATATTCCCTGAAGATTCTACTGTCTTGAACACTTGTCTGAGCCATAGGACGTAGGAGACCTTGGAAAACTTTGGCTAATGTTGGTGGTGTCGTTTATGGCAAATTCTACTTTCTCTTTCTTTCTCCTATACATTTCCTCCCTTATCTTCAAGTTAACCTCTTAAAATGACCTTTTCATTTTTGTCTTTTTTCTTTTCCCTTCTTTTCTTCTCTCCCAGGGAGCACTGAAGACTGGCCATCTTCCATATCAGACACTTTCCATATCAGACTCGTGGAAGTAGCTGCATTAAGAACTGAAGGCGATCTACGAACTCACGGTTGTTTCTCGGAACTTCCTTTCTTGGGGGTAAAAAGTACAAATGTCAAGCTGTCAACCCAAAATTTAGGGCCTCTGCAAATATTATGCTATATGCCTAATCTTAAACTTCTTTTCAAAATGAATTTTCTATTTTTAACTCAGCATTTTTTCTAGGAAATTTCATTTGAGATGCAGAAACCAATTTTTTGGTAAATTACAATGTATTTCCACTACAGATTCCAGATAAAGAGATATGAAGAGATGTATGCAAGGTACTGGTGTCTAGGCCACACACGTGTGTGTGTGTGTGTGTGTGTGTGTGTGTGTGTGTGTTCCAGGATTACCCTTTCTATGTACCACGTAATCATTTGCTGTTCACACTGCTGTTGTATGGAAGAATTTTCTATAATCTTCAGCTATATTTCTTCAAAAAAGACTGTTGTAGTGCTCAGTATCAGTTAAATAGCTTGTGCAATTGTTGGAGAATTCATGTATCTCAATGGCAAAGAAGTTATCCAATTTGAAAATTGGAAAAAGTATTTAACACAGACACATTATCCTCTCTCATAATGTAACTTTTCTTTGTCTGTCTAGCTGTACTTCCAAAAATTGTTCAAATGAGAACTTGATAAAATGCCTTATTAAAAATAACACCATATAATATTCAAGCAACAGCTGAAGGAAAGAGATGACCAGGGCAAACAAATAACTTTATTTCTGAAACTATGCTGAAATTAGGCATGAATTTCTAGTTTCTCATAATGTAATGTGGTTGAAAAGATTTTGGAATTATATTAAATTATATAGTAGAAAATGAAATCATTTTTGGGAAATTTTCTCCATGGTACAATCTTTTCTCACAATTATTTACTAATATACATTTCAAGCAAATATTCTATGGCATAGCCACTGTTGAGAGTTTACACTTTTTGGTAAAAATGTATTTTAAACATTACAAAAAATTTATAGTAAAATAATAAAGTCTTTCAAGAAAGTGACATGCTTATAAGATATGCTTTCAGTTAATCTCTAATCTAGAAGGAGGCTTATTTGATGGCTGTATCCTATAATTAGTGAGATTAGTAATCAAGACAACTGTGATTTATTTTACTAGAAAAACTGAGAGAGTAAAGACATCTGGCCTACATGGCCTGCTGGTAAAAGACAAAGTACACCTCAATTTGTTTTGCTACATTATTCTCTTCAGAGAGACAAGAGATGTTACACATTCTCTGCATAATGACAATTCTACAGCATCAGAGTCAAATAATATTTGTTCTATGACAGCAGAATTTTATATCATATCTCTAAAGACAGTAAATACTTAGGTGGACATCAATGAATGCTAAACACTAATTGATGTGATATATCCATATGCACACCCACAAATACACATGGTGGCTTGCAATGGTTGAAAAATTACATTTGGAGTCTATTAAAAGATCTGTCACTTTTAGGTCAGAGTGGGATGGTGGAGGGGTAGCCTCTCGCCATGGAGAACTATCTTGACAAGGCTGGTGTTGCAGGGTTGTTTGTTGTTTGGCCTGTTGATGATGCTTAGCCAAAGAGACACTTCCTTTCAGATCCCGTCTCCCAAACCCCAGGGCTCTGTTCTGGGCAGTTCAGCCTAATGGAATTAAGCCTGACACGTTTCAACTCTATTTCTCTATAAAATAAACATAAAACAATGGTTTAGATTTCTAATACAACTCTTGAGGCATAGGGGACCCCAACTTTCCCTGTCCTTTACACATCTGTAAATAAAGCACATAAAAGAGGAACACAACAGGATAAATCAACATAAATTTGAAATCCACTGCAGCATATTAAATGGCGCAGACTCCGCCAAAGAGAGGCTGACCCCAGGCTTCGTGCAGTTTGAAGCTAATTGTTTTCGTCAGGATGGGAACGTCTGGGAGTCCGCGGCTGTGTCCCACCAGTAAGACTCCAGTAACTGAGCTGGGCCACAGAGAATGGGTCCACTTTGTAGCGACACAGCGGGCTCAGCCACCTCCTATTCTGCTCTCCAAACTGTCATGCATAACAACTTTATTGTGCTAAATTGAACTTGAAAGCAACCAAAGGCTATGAGAAGGAGCGGCTATGAGAAAAGCGTGCTGTCAGCGCTGGCAAAGGCTGACCTGGAAAGTAGGCTCAGAGACAGGGGAATAAAAGACCAGGCCCCATGAACACAGCATATTGTTTCATTTTAAAGTATGATTCCCATACCAGAGAAAGTAGCAAATGTGATGTAAATTTATTTAAATAGATTCGACCGCTTAAAAGTTTGCCAGCCGCTCTTATCCAACTTTCCCAGCTCTCTGATTCGTTACTTACAGTGGGAATATAATGACATATAGTCATCATTGTAACAGCTTCTTTGGAGCGCACAATGATGATTAATAGCCAGCAGCAAATTTTCACATGGGCTCTGAAGCACTATGGTATTAAGCAGCCAAACAGTCCCAAATCCCCCTTTTCTGTTCCACTGAAAAGTCCCTCCTTGTACCTCGCAGATAGGAACAAAGCATATCTTAATTCCAATCAGCTTTTCCTCATTCAAAGGGAACTTCTCTTTTTCATAATTGATTCATGTGCATTTTTAGTGTTCCACTGAGCTGAAGCCACTTTCTCCTTTTCTCTGTTCTGTCCCCACACCACACCCATCTTTTTTTTTTTTTTGAAAGGGCGAGGAGTGGGAAACATTTTAACAACAACAACAATAAAAACTGGGCTGTGAGTGTGTGTGTGTGTGTGTGTGTGTGTGTGTGTGTGTGTGTTCCTTTTCCAAATATTTGCTAGATTCCTCAATTAGTACCAGTCTGTGCTTTACCGCTAAAGGGTTTAAAGCAAAAATTAACTCCCGGGTTTCTCCGCGGTTGGAAGTGGTTTGGTTCTAAAGGGAGTGGACTCACTGAAATGACTCTAGTGGGGCATGCACCCTGCTCGGCTTCCTGGCTCCATCCAGGGAGTCTGAGTAGCCCTCATTCCCACGAAAGACTCACAGCTGGAGCAGGGGCACAGTGTCTGGCTCCAGACAGAGTCTTTTCTCTTCTCTGTGCTGATAGCTATCAAAAAAGGAACAAGTGACCAATGGAAGGCAGCAAATTGAGCCCTCCTAACCCACTCTACCCTTCTTAAGTATCATTTCACCCCATAGTAATCTTACATCAGAATTATTAGCGGAAGCGCCTGTGCTATTTGTAGAAGAGCTTTCTCCTCGGCTGGTTCCACCTCCTGTGATAATGACGCAAATGACATCAACCTGCACTGCCGTGGAAGGGGGTTTCCACAGGCAAACTCATTTGTGTTTAGATGACAATATAATGGCCATAAAGTGTGGAGTTTCGGTAGATACACTTTGCATATTTGTTTACATTTCATACACCCCTGCTCTCATTTTTCTGCGTGAGTAGGGTGATCACACAGAGGGCCCTGTTTGCCTGGGACAAATCTCGTTGTTGTCTGTTGTCCTTACAAGACTATTGACCATGATCTTTCACTCTCAAAAGAATTTTGATTTGAACAGTTTGAAAAATACATGGCTTTTTGGTATTAAAATGTCCCTAAAATGATTTATATAAACCAGAAGAGTAGGCTGTCTCTTACCCGCATAGCTATGGGCTGTTTCACATTATACCCAAGGTTAAGGGGGAAAAAGCAGACCTGGAAAGCCTGCCGCACATGCTGCCGCACCAACTTTCGTCTTGCCTACTTTTGAGGTCAGTTGACCTTATACAGCTTCTGTGATATATGGCAGAAGGGAGATCCTTTGCCAAAAGGAAAAGACAAGTCATAAACCAGATTTTGAGTGTGACACGCAAAGAGACAAAATTTACCGACCAGATAAAATACTCTGCCGTACCTTAGAATAGACTGGCCTTTCTTATGTTTTGATGTCTTGAGATGTCTTGAGATGGGTGAGGAAAATATCCAACTAACAGGAGGACTTTTGTTCATGGTTTTAGCGCTTATATGTTTTTATTAAAAAAAAAAAACCCACAGGTCAAGGTGGTATCAAATTTTCCATCTCTATTTATAATTTTCATTCAAAAATCCCAAGCAGGTAAATATAAAGTAATCTTTGGGTTATAGAAGTTTCTCAGAGAGTATTATAAATCTACATGGAAATGTCTCTGAGGGTTGGGTTTTGGGTGTGGATTTCAGAATTAATAAGAGATGTACATTTTCAGTGGAGAACACCCCACTGATGGTACCCCTGAGAAGCTTCATAGATGTTAATTCCTGAAAGCATATAGAACAAATGGACTCCAACTACTCTGGATTCAAAATAACTACAGCAAACTAAAATTTCCTATTCTCCCCCAAACCATAGCCCCTATTCTGGTTCTCAAGGACAGACATAGAAGAATTAGGACTCTGCCCAAATTGCTCCTTTAGAGGAACCCGGTCTCTCAGTGAGCCCAACCTCCCAAGTTAAAGCTGCGCCTATCCAATACTTATTAGCACATCTTATTTCCTTTTCAAGATTTCTTTTCAGAGATGAAATAAGTAAAATGTGTCAAAGATGTCAGATACAATCAATTTTTAGAACTTTTGGGGTGTTTCTTTATTGTGCGAAGTATTTGCAGATGTTTAAAAACAGTCCACCATTCCACCCTCCTCCGATGGTGACAGCGTACCATCTTCTTCAGTAGAGCTATGGAACAAGTCACCACTGAAGCCCTACTTTTGGAAATTACTAGGTGTTTATCAGCCCCATCTCTGGGACTCTAATAGAGTTGGTTCCCCCTAACAATTCTATCATTTTGCATGTGGTAGTGGCTGTTCCCAAACATTTGGCTCAACCTGTTTGCGTTTTTATGAAGATGCAGATGTTTCTTAAACCATTAAAGAGAATGTGCTAGAACAAATCTGAGTTCTGTTACATCTGATGTGAATATACTAAGTAAAACTGTTTCAGATGTATGCTTGTGTAGTTATTTTCACATAATGTTACTTCTCTGAGAAGTGTAAACTTTGATATGAGCTATCAGAGTGTAAAGAGTGTGTTTGCAACAACAGTTTTGTTAGATTATTG